GCAAACCACATTTCTACTTTTCATAAAAGCGAGAAATGTTTGTCATCTAGTGGTTATACAGACTGTAAATTCATGGAATCATTTTACAGCTTTTGTTCTTTTGATTGCAGCATTTACTGGGGCTGTTTAATTTGGATTGCCCAGAATGACAGTGAACAATTTTAAGTGTACCCTGTACTTCAGGCTCTTGATGTAATAGATCTTATGCAGCATGTCTACCTTTCAAGAAAGCTTTCAGTGAAAATTATGCATAATTAGACAGGGTTGGATATGCGCTAAGAGAAGAACAATTTCTCAAAATATTTCTAGCAGTGAAGTGCTCGCCTAAAGGTGGATGGCCTCTTTCTAAAGAAAAAATTGAGAAGGAAGTGGAGAAGCAAATCTGTGAGAAAGGTGTGGTGGCTTGGGTCCCAGCATCCTTGGATCTTAACAGGCTGTCTGGGAACACCTCCTTTCTAAACACCTTCAGCAGTCACTGGCTCCTTTAGCTTCCTAGTGGTGTGGGTGCTGCCGCACCATTCCCGCACCACCACCCTGCCTCTCAGAGGGGTCTCCCTCAGGTCCAAGCACAGCCCGCGCCAATCCTTCTACAGTGATTCCTGTGTGAGATATCTCTTCAGGGCAAGCTAGGTCTTCACAGTGGGACAAGTGTTCCGGAGGAAGTAAAAAAAGAGGGATTGTTGCTGGAAGTTTAGGAGAACCCCTAACATAACATCAAATGCATTTCTTTGAAATGTTGGTCTCTTCCTAAACATATAGAAGTTTCAAAGATACGTAGAATCATTCCTGTCTGCCCCTATGGGTTTCACCCCTGATTTTTAAAAGATTTTTTTCTAAACAAGATGAGACATGGTTGGAGAGAGTCCTCACGGGCAATAGTTATCAATGTGAAATGCGTCCATATCAATAAAAGCTTTTTCAGGTTGTGGTTTCAGAATAACATTTAGCTGACCTAAATTTAGGATTGTCACAGGAAGGATAGCCCCACTCAAACTGTAAATTCCCGCTCACTTTATGCTGGCACTAGCATCCATTTAGCCTTGAATTCAGCCACATTGGGGAACTGACCCTACTGAAAACATTGTTTTTTTTAAAATCTGGTTAGGTTTTATCCTGAGTCTTCTTGTTGATAATGAGAATCACAAAAGGATTGTATAACTGAGGTATTCAGCATACATATTTAACATCTTTAATCGTAAATAAATAAGCATCCTTCTGAACATAATATCACATGCAGCAATTTCTATGTAGTAGTGCTTTAGAGACAGTACTTCATACTATCTTCCAGCAGAAGGAGTTCATCAGTTTTACAGATTAATTTTATACTACGACAGGACATTTAGTGCCTAGATATATCAATGACATTGAAGAAAATGGGAATTTTTTGGCGGCGAGAACAAAGGCCAGGTAGATAAGCCAAGGCTACAAAGCCAGTCTGCACAAAGTGTGGAATTAAAGGGTATTCCCAACGCCCAGGCCCATGCTTGGACAAACAGGTACCACCACACTCTCATGCGGTTTTATTAAAGGGTTTGCGCCAGATTCTGAAATAGCCTGATTGCCGTTTCCCAGTCAGTGCTACTGCTTTACAGTGTATACTACCTCTGCTGATGACAGTAGTTTGTATTTGCTGGCAAGCCTTCCATGAGCCCGGCTAAAAAATCCATGTGCTTGAAAATAACGATAAACAAACAGAGCTACTTCCAAGATGAATCCCAACTCTCAACGTGGCTGCATGTACAACAGATGGTGCCGAAGGGATGGTCAGGGCTATTGTTCAGCCTATCGGCTTGGCCTGTATGCTCTTAAGAGTGTTTTATATTGTCTCAGGAAGTTGTTAAAAGCTTGTGTGATGATTTGCTGCTCAGGCTCAGATCCAAGCTGTATTTGCATGACCTTTAGCTTAGCCGACTGCTTTGGAGCTTCATTAAATGGCTGATTAAATGCTTTCTTTTTATAAATATGAATGATCTCTGTGTTCTATATCTCCCTGATTTCCTAAGAATGCCAGACATTTTCCGGTAAAAGCTTTAATTAGCAAAGGCTTGTGTGACTGATATTTTAGTGTATTCATCCTTTAGGTCTCAGCATAGGCAGATGAGAATGATGTAATATCATGGAAAATGTCTACTCAACTCTAATTAACAAAGGAGGCACAAATTTTGTCTAATTGGGCATATTTGAGCCTGCTCCCTTTTTGAACTGTTGCACCACTGCAACAGAAGTGGTACGACAGGACACAGTAATTTCAGTTTTGACTGCTGATGGATTGTAATCTTTTACAGTTATATTTATCCAATACATTTGTTGAGCTGAGTGGGCATGTTATTCTGTATTTCTATTTCCAGGTAATCTTTAATTGTGAACAGTGGGTGAGTTACAGAGGTTGAACTATCTTCATCACAGCTCTTGAAACTAGGACTTCCTCAAACAGGAACCGAAAGATCATTTGAATTATTCTTATTTCACACTAGCAAAACTAAAAGCAGAATGTCGCGTTTGCATAATGCAATGAGATAATATGAAAGGCTATGAGGGGAGATTTTATTCTGCCTCTAAAACATACATATTAGTTCAACATGATCTTGCACAATTTGACAAGCGGATTTTCATTATTAATAAGATGCAATGTAAGGCTTCTAATTAAGTGGAAAACAAACCACTGTAAACTACACTCAGAACACACAAACCTATTAGGTTTTAAATTTAATAATAAATCATTTATCTAAAGCCCAGCTGATTTGTTGCATAATCCTAGCTGATGAGAATTTACATCATTTGTGCATTCTTTTAGGCTTTTAGGCTTACTTCTTTCTGTCTTAATGCTGATATAAAGCAAATCTGTGTATGTGTTTTCGGGTTTTTTTTTTTTTTGAAGTATCCCTATGTTGAAATGCAGTTACCCAAAATGATTAGCAGGTAACAAAAAGCCTTGGTATTGTTCTCATTAATTTTGGGAAAGTAGGGTAATTTACAAGTAAAATGAAATGTCTAATATGAATCAAACACTAAATTAGAACTGCACTGCTGGACTGTAACAACAAAACACTAGAGAGGGAAAAAAGCATATTACAAATTTCAATAGCAAAAAATGCTAATAGCCCTTGCCCACAGGAGTTTTGGGAAACAAATAACCAGTTACTTCAAAGAGATTTTAAAATACTATCTAATGTGGAATTTGCCACATGAACATAACTGTTCAGTGAAAACCTTTGCCAGGTAAAGGTGTACCTGGATCCAATTGACACAACCTGGCCCTATCTGTCTAGAGCAATGACTGTTGCACAGCAGTGTATTTAACAACTATGAGCACTACATGTAATTCTGCTCAGCCACACCCATGAAACATGAGTGACAGAAAGGTACCACACATGCAACTGACAGCTACATTTGATTCACAGGGTGCATTAACGCTTTTTCCTGTGGTCTTTGAGTACAAAATGGCTGTAGTTGTTTAAACAACTTCTGTGAAAAATTAATACCATATAAAATGCTTCATTTATTCTGTCATGAAGATTCTTCAATCACCATATTTGCACAGCTTCGTAAATCCTCACTTCTTTTAACCTTGGCGAACAAATATCTGATAGTTCATGTGATTTAATAGATTTCATGGTTTCAGGATTTCTTATTACCTGGGGGAGAAGTAGTTTTTTTTCTTTTTGTTTTTTTGAAGAGAAGGATACCAAACGTCTTATGACATTTTCTACAGAATATGGCCACAACATAAATGCTCCTCTAGACCTAAATTTCTTAATCAGCAAACATGTGCCAGTCTCCATGTGGAATGACAAGCTGTTTTTATGTGTATAGCCTTTGGAAAATTCCAGCCTTAATGCCAGCAAGTACCACATTATCCTATTTGTAGAAGTCCTAGGTTCTGCAGAAATGACTAGGATGGGTCCAGGTGCTCAGGATGATACAGCAAAGAAACACACCCCTCCTCGCTTTCATATCTGGTAAAAGTCACTGGGCTATGCTCCTTTCACCTGCAGAAACGGGAAGAAATGAGAGACGCTCTTTACACTAAGCGTTCCTAGCTTTAGGATAGAAAAAAATGCTTTGACTGTTGTAATAATTCTTTTTTCATGTATGCTAATAGGTATTAAAATGTGCATGTGCTCTGGCACATCCTAAAGCAGAGCTGCAATGAAAGTTCAGAAAGCTTTTTTCTAAAATGCACCTCAAAAATCATTAGAGGACGGTAAAGATCTATGCTGTGTCACAGTAAAATTATAACTGCTACTTATGGAAAGTGCTCTTTCATGTTTAAATCAAACCAATTATTTCAGCTTACTTATTCCTTAGGAAGTTAAAGCTAACCATAAGTATGCTAGATGAGATCTTTCCTGAGAAATACATGATGAAGAAAGAAGCACAGAGAATCCTACGTGAACACAGAAAAAAACTGTATACATTTTCCAAGGTCAAACAGAATTATCACCTGAGTGAGTCTTTTTTTGCCAGCACACACATCATACTTGTCAAGAGTGTTATCATACTGGTTAAATTAAAATTTTCTCAGTAGAAGACTCATGACATCAGCAGAGACTGTAAGAAATAGAAAGGAATTAGGGAAATTTTGGAAACTTAGAAACAAAGCAAAATGAAGTGTGTTAGGGTCAGGATTGGCTTCTCAAAATTAAAAAGTTTTTTTCTTCTCATTACAAAGTAACGTACTCTGCACTGCAGATTGCAGTTCAAATGGTTGATCAAGCACTACTATCTTTTACATAGTGACATCTATTGTATTTGTTTAACATTTAGTGAATTCCAAAAGAAAGCAACAATAACCCATTTTAACAGTGATTTTTCCTTTTTTCAAATACTTTCCAGTAATCAAGTTCAAATGCAAAGAGCTAGATTCCACGCAGAGAAAATAGTTTTGGAATTAACCCAGAGACACCCACTCCATCCTGAAATTAACAGAAATATCTTTCAGAGAATGATCGACACCAAAGACAGCACAAACAAAACATCCACAGTTGCAAAGCTGCAAGTATGTAAAATGACCATTTTAATGTTGTGACAGATCCATGGTTTGAAAATATACTACAGCATGTTTTCATCAAATTAACATGGAATTAAAGTTACCTGTGCTGTATAGGTAAATATAACTACAAATAGCTGGTGGCATGTTGCCTCTCCCCAAAATCAGAATTGCAATGAAACACATATGCTGAAAGACCAGTTTTTATAGAAAGAGAACGGACAAGATTAACTAATTTTACACACTGGAAACCCTCAAGATTAACACATACTAGCATAAAATGTTAAAAGAGTTTTTTGCTAGTTAATAATAAAGAAAACAAAACAACAAGTCTCTGACAACACACAACTGGAGATACTGTAGATACAAAGTGACACATAATTATAAAACCCTCTGGGGATTTACAATTTGACACCCAATGTCCAGATCTGCATATTCATTGCCAGAACGCCATTTTCACCTAAAGTGGACTGAAATGCAATGAAAAGTAAGTCTTTATCTGTATTATAATGACAGTTTCAAACAAAGTCTTAAGAACTCAATAAGCCATATAAACTGTTGAAAAAAAAAAAACCTTTCATTCTGATTTTGTTACTGCCAAAATGTAAAACCAATATAGAGAATTTTATTTACTTAAAATATACCAGAAAAGAAAAGAAGATCAAGGAATTCTGAAAATAGTGGCAAATTCAGTCACACACATTAGTTACGGGCTCCAGGTTTCAGTACAGAAATCAAAATATAAAACTGAAGAGGCTCTAAAAACAAAACAAGGAAATTCAAGAACGAAAATAAAACGAGCACTGATATTTCACCTCCAAAGAGGTCGGCAGAAATGCTTTTTGTAAGTGCATATATTTAGGAGTTGAGTGTGGTTGGTAACATGACTGCAATATACTCATTTTCCGCAATTTTTAACAGGCTGATATATAAAAATAATTTTCTGATTTCTGTGCCAAAAAGGACTTGCAAATATGACCTAGTCCCTTTAAAACGTCCCGGTGTCTTGAATGTTTAAGGCTATACATGCATTCTCTCTTAAGGAATTTCAAGTTGAAACAGTAGCTGAAAATAGTGTTATATTACATAAATTACACAAGAAAGAGGATATTAATAGGAAATGTACATATAATGCAGCATGAGTCTGTTTCTGTAAGACCAGTATACACTAGCTAGTATTATATAATATCAGGACTTTAGACACAGAAAAACTTGAACCTACCTGTGTTCTCGCAGTTGTAAACTTCTGACATATGTATAAAATGGGTAAAATAGGCTAATTTGACAGCACTGTTTCTTTCTATTTGTTTTGTGAGTTTGATTAAAACACACAAAGAAATGCAAATCAAACGCTTTGCTACTGACGCGAAAGTGCACAACCAGTAAGAGAAGAGGTATCTCGAATCCTCAGCTGTGAATCACATTTACAGAAGCCTATTTTATTTTTTGTTCAAAGAGATCCATTATATCATTTCTGTCTTTAAGTAATAGCGAGTCCAAACATTATTTGCCCAAAGAATGAGAAACAGACTTGGTTCTTTGGTTAACACCATGTGACTTACATCAGACACAGGAATCGATTAAGAACAAACAGTTGTATGAGGAGGTTTCTTGGAAAGGGGGATGAGGAAGGAAAAGGGACTGCTTAAAAATCAAAGAAATGCATTATGTTGAACTGAATAGCCATTTAAAACCTCCTGTACTAGGAATAATCAGGTTAAGACATCTCTTGAACTGCAGTGACATTGTTTACACACGATAACATCAGTTTCTCTAAATATTAGTTTTGTACAAAAAGAAACAAGGCACCGAGTGCATCGGTGGTGTACAGACTATATAAAAGTACGCAAGAAAATGCTACATACTGTATATTTAACACACTCATTAAAAATGTGGTGAATGTGTGTCCTGCCTTTATGCAGCATAATGCTTCACAAATCCAATTTCTTATATCTCTATGAAAGAATCAATTAAAATGTGAAATACATTTTAATAAACTTGCTGATAACAGCACAGTTCAATATTTGTATGTCAGTTATTAGCTTATAGTCACCGGAAAACAAGTTCAAAATTACTGAAGATCAAGGGAACTATAATCTATAATTTTGGGACAGAGTCAGCAGCCTTTACTCATGACAGATGTCCCACTAAGAATGGAGAAGAGGCTCAGTTTTACCACTGTTATTCATGTTAATAGTACCTTTCCCTGAGTCATCTCAAAGACATAGATGGACCTGCTTATGGGCAAAGGTACTACACAGCATGAAAGAAGCGTGGTTAAACCAGGACCTGAGCGAAAGGCAGTAGGGTTCAGGCCCTTAGTCATTATTTTAGCACTTAGATTGTTTAACAGTGATATAGCTTTGCTCATAGAGCATTTAATTTTACATTGTTAAATCACCTTATATAAAAATAGGTAAGAAAGCTCTGTAAGAAAGTATATATACTATATAAGGAGAAATTTCTCCTTAAAAAAAGCAAAGAAAGGGAAAAATTGAATAAAAGTTTCACTAATTACACTTTGTCATGAAAATCACTTTAAAAACAGTTATCATAAATGAAACAGTACCAAGCAGTAATGAACCTTGTGGTTTACTGGAAAGGACAGCAAACTAGCTGTATAGTAAAAAAAGATCACTGCTCCATCTTTTGTTTTGTTACTGTTCCCTAATACATTCAACTGCTTACAAATTTTCTTAAAACAGTATAACAAGCCATTTGCAAAATTTGCTATCAAAACTTGTTCAAAGCCCAGCTCCTTGCTTGCACTATGGCATAGAAATCACCTTACATCTCAGAAGTTATGGTAATGCTTCTAGTTAACTCTGTAGATTCATTTGAACTTATGCTTTGGAAATCAAAGTTATACATCAATCCATTTTGAATCTTAGACATGCAATGAACGTCCATTGGCTTTGAAAAACACAGCAAAAGAATTAACTCGATACAGTGGGCAACTCCTGTCCTCAGACACAAGAGGAAAAAGGATGACGTTAACTACATCCCTGAATGTCCATGAGGTATTCCTTCATAGTATTATATTACTGCTTTTGCTCTACTGAGTGGGATTCTCAGAGATAGGCAAGTCTTGGGGGCTTTACACGAGCTCTGCCAGTAGATGTTTCCAAGAAAGTGAACGAAATAACATATAACGCAGCTGGCGTTCCCTACTTGCTATTAGGCTAACCTTGCCCGTTTTCTGGGGCATAGTTGGTTCCTGTTTTCCATTCCTAAACAAGCAGTACTACCCGCTTTCCTAACTCCTGGCATGTTCAGCTCATAAGGACCTTATTTTACATTGTACCAGCAAAAGCCTATGCATTGAAACCTGATCCAGCCTATGTCAGACCAAATTATTCAGTTGTACCATGTTACATCTGGACTAAGCTTGCTAACATCAATATAACTGTGCCATATTTAGGTAGGTATAAGCAGATAAGCCTGGTGCACAAGCTTTCTGCAGTCTGCGGAAAGGAAGAAATCCTGCTTGAATTTATGGAGGGGCAGTAATAAGTTCTTAAGGCTACACAAGTCTTTGTAAGCCAGTGTGTATCCATTCTGAACACTATTCACCCTTCTTATATCTCTAAAATGTATTAGGTCAGAAGCCATAAAGTGCTCATACAAATCTGTGCAGCTTTGAATATGTGCAGTTTCCACAACTGTTTCTCTGAGCAGGGTCTTCCAAGGACCACAAGGCTCCAAGAGTAGAATCTGAGTCATTGTAGATAACTCGGTATCAAGCCATCACTTATTTTAACGCTCTCACTCTCAGATGAGATCACTCTATCAGGTATTGATTCACTGACAAGTAAATGCTCCTGTGACTTCTCCCTTAAAAGTGACCAACAAAATAGGCCAAAATCCAGCTTTGGTGTACTGCAAAACCTGGCAGTTGAGTTAAATAGGCCAAAAATAAAGAATTCTTGGATGGCTTGTTCTGACAGTGAACAGTAAAGAAGAAACAAAAAGAAGAGATAATAATTGAATACTTTAATTTATAACAGTCTCCTGATATTTGCTTTTTCCCTCTGTTCATAATTTAAATTACATTTGCTTATGTTGCAGGTGTTATCCTGTACCAACGCGCTCATCTGCTGATCCTATTATGCTTTCAGGGTCAGGTCTATTCTCCCGTTGATGGCCTCTGAGTTCCTCTCATTACCATTAATGCCTATCAGTGCCTATCAGTGGGAAAATTAAATGAATATTTAGTGGTTACTAAAAAATCAGCTTAAGGAGGAAGTCAGTCTGCCTTACAGTTGACAAGCCATAATATTAGAGACTGCTTTAGATAAGACAGCAATCCTCCAGAAAGTGTGAAGAATGGGGTAAAGGGCTCAGTACAGCTCTCAGTTAAAAATCAAAGGGCATTCTGCTGTTAGTTTCAAGTTGGAACAGTTAAGGTCAAAAAGCTTTGCCTAAAACATAATTCTCTGATTTCGTCATAAACTTTTTTAGAATTTTTGTGTTGTAACAGTGATCTGTATTCAATTCGTACATCAAAACATCTTATAGCCTTGCAAAAAGGAAAAAAAAAAAGAGGTTTTCTTCCTCTGCCTCATCATGCTAAAACTCCAAAGATTTTGCATCTTAGAAACCTTCAGGAGCTGAACGAGTCATAAAATTTTGCACCAGATTGCCCCAGCACCTTATTGCAAGAGGGGCAGAGTGCTCCTGACTGCCAAGGTCAAGTGACTGCCGCAGGTTTCTCAGGCTGCTGGGGAGTTCACAGGAGCAAGTCATTAGGGAGAAAAGAGAGAATATCAGTAACACAAATACAAATTTTAGGTCAACAACAAAGACATATTTGGTCCAAAGATATGGAATATGGGAAGGTACTGATGCCAGCAGTACATTAGCCATCAGGAATGGTTACAAGAGTTTACAGGCGAAAATATTCTCTACAGTAGATGCCGCAAAATCCGTTTTCAGCTTGAGCGTTCACTAAATTGATAAACAGAATCTTCAGCTCCAGTAACAGCACACACGTGAGTTCCAAGGACTCGCCATATTTGAAATCTAATTATTAATGAGGTTAGAGGATTTTAATTACATTAAGAAATTATGTTATATTTCTCAAGTAGTAGAATTTATACCTTGCCTAACTTCTGCCTTTGCAGTCGGACCTCACTGCGTGGTTACAAGGTGGCTGTCTCTTCAGTTCTGAGCACGAGGCAGCACGGCAGGGACCAAGCTTTGAACCTCACCACTACGAGCGGATGTCTGCACGCTCGATCGGCTGTGCTCTCCAGCTGAATGGGCAGCAGAAGCACGGCTCTGCTTATCCCTTGCCTCCACAGAGATAAGAAACAGCTATGTCCTACAGCAGCAGTATGTCCTCTCATCCTTCTGCACAGTGAGATTTTGCACTTGCCTGCACTGGCCTGTTGGATCACAGTCTCGCCCTTACCACAGAGTGTAAACGGAACCAACCACCTTTTCTCTCATTAATAGCTCTTTAAGAAGAGCGTACCTTTGAGAAGACCCATGTGAAATGTTCTAAACTTTAATCCAAATATAGATTAGATGCGGAAAGGATGAAATATTTTCAAGTACAGAATCTGTAAGAACTTCATTGTTCTACAATTATTTAAGGCTACACTATCAGGAAACATTCAATTCAAGAATTATAATCTTTACATGGTACATTGGCACACAGAAAAGTAGTCAAATAATTTGATAGGCTCTTCCAAGTACTACTAATGCTTCTGAAGAAAGGTAAATAACAAAAAGCTACAAAAAGCCAGCAGTGGCCACTCTGAGGAAAACACAAATCTAATTTGTTTCCATTATTTTGTTCTTTATATTCTGTTCCATGCTTGAGACTTAACTGAATGCACAACCCCCCCCCCGCCACACACACACTTTATGTACGAGCCACTATGCAGGGTTTACCAAAACTTTAGATAAAGACAGATTTCAAATACAAGAGTATAGATTTGTAAAAAGCAATAAGCAAAACAAAATGACAAACAAAAGAATGGGCTCTAGGAATAAAAAGGCAACATGACAGCTACTGATACTATAACTAATTCATAACAATCCTATGCTGAATTCCAACTATTGGTGTGACTGGTTTTGCATGGAAAACCCATATTCTATTGCCTAAAGTTAAACATTCACTTCCACCTTTTCTACGGTAAAAATCCAAAAAAGCCAAACCATTTTTTTCCTGAAGCACGAATCGGACCTAGAGAACTTGGGAAAAGTCACATGATCTAGAAAGAGGAGTCATCCCAAATGCACCCAACATAGGCTGTTACAAATCTCTGCTGTGTCTAAATTATGATTTCAATGTCTAATAAATCTGAATGATTAGCACGTAAAATTGAAGCAGTGCACCTTCCAAACTGAAACCCAAGTCATGACACTGTTAGTTCAGCTTGGATTCTGTAACAGGTTACTTGCTGCACCTTCCAAACTGACTTAATTAGTTTAATGGTGATATTAACCCTCCGCTTGAACTAATTCGCTCAAGACTTGCTGTTAAGTACTCTACGCTATTTTATAAAGAAAAACCTACATAAGAGACAACCATTAACAGATAACTTTCAACTTTAGGAAAGAGCATCCCAATACCCACAAAGCAAATGAGTAAAAATCCTTCTATATGCATTGAAAAACTGCTTTGTATCAGTATGGGCTCTTAAGTCAGCACTTCTATCATAAAGAAAGCTAAAAGGATTAGAAAAATTTGAGCATTTGACTTATGCTTATAAAATTATTGTTGATTTTTTTTTAAATTCTACACATAACATTACATTTCACAACCTGAGCAACAAAAAGGACTGAAAGACACAACTTATATCAGTGCAAGACGATTTCTGCTTAAAGAAAGTTGGTATTTTATGTATTTAGTAGATAAGGCTTCTGCAAATGAAACAACTGTGCAATATCAGAACACAAAAGTCGTGTAATAAGGTGTTTTAAATCTTTAAATCAATAAAACCTGAAAACCTGGTTCTGCAAACAAACCCCTCAAAAGGCACCAAATAAACTAAGAAGTGGAATTACAATATCCTTTAAAGAGGACCTCGTGAAATTGTTAAGTAGTGTGAGAATTTGAGAACCACACGAAATATCTTTATTATAATATACTCACCGTCTCCAATCTCACTATATATCCTAAAGCCAGGATTGCTGAAAGTATTATAAAGGATATAATACCACTAATTCTCACAAAAAAAATCCAAAACTTCACTCTTCTACCCACCAAGTGTTGCAACAGCCAGTGAGTTCTCATATTAGTAAGACATCATAATTTATAAGAAGTATAAATTTGCTTGCATTCCATACAGTAACAATTAAAAGTAAATGAAACTTATAATCACAGGCAAAATGAATTGGGAAGCATTTTAAATAAATGTCTACATGAAAATCCACAACTTCAGTAATCTGAATTGGATCTGGCAGTCAGTTAAGTTAGTGTGCCAGTAGTTAAAATGTTAGGGCCAAACAGGAATCTTAGAAACACAGATATTTTGCTAATTTCAGTGGAAGCTGTGAGGGTTTATTTGAAGGCAAACTTTCTCGTGATAATGTGGCTTCACAACCGTGTCATTATTACAAAGCTGCAGTCCCCAACCTGAACATAAGCAAAGCAGATTTCTCCTTTGGGTGTGGACATTTATTCAATTGCTGGCAAGTCATTGAAAAAAAAAAAAAGTAACTCGCTGATATTCTCTTCTCCAAGAAGAAAGATAAAAACTCCTGGTCTGCTCTCTGCTTCCATTAAACATCATACAGCAATCCCTAAAACAGCTCATAAGAGGCTCAAACGGATGTCTGCTTCAACAAAAGTCATAGTACTTCTCCTGTTTGTTCTGAGTAGTTCAACTGCTGCCACTTCTTTCGCAGTCTTTTGATCTAACTGCTGACATTTTAGAGAAATCCGTATCAATTTGTTTAATGAAAAGGTATTTTAGTAAAGTCATGCTCTATGAGCTTCCTACATTGGAATACATGAACACAGGAAGTGCTTTCAACAGAAAGTTACACAATTTTACAGTACAACCTGTCTAAGGAGATTTGGAAGGGACCAAACTAATGATCTGGTCTCTTTGGATTAGGCAGAAGCACAGGCAAGAGGGAAGACCCAATTTATGCCACGTACAGAGCTCGTTCCTGTCACAGATTGAAGAAACTCTTATTTTATGTCAAAGTTCACCTGATGCCTCAATGCTAGTATTTTTCAAACCAACTGCATATTAAAAATTAAAACTTACTTGTACTAAGCTCCTGGAAAGAAATTCAGCGTAAAACAACAGTATATTCATATTTGCTATATTTCTAAATTTTCTTCTCCATTGGCTTTTTTTTTTGCTATACAGACTAATAACTTTTTCTTTTTTTATGTAGTGCAAATTATTGACCCTTAATCTGAATGCAGGCAGGTCAGAAGCTACAGTATTACAGAAATAAGAAAAGTACACAAGGAGGAGCTTACACTGATTTGGAGAGTCTTACATAAAATACTTCTGAATTGAAAAACACAAAACAAACCCAAACCAATACAGCATCAGGTAGATGGGGGAGGGACTGCTAGCATATTTGTATAAAGTAAGGTTTCTCTGACACCAGCAAAGTGTCTGATACTAAGTGAAGATGATATATTAAATCGCTCCATTTTGCATGTTGTGCATCCTTTAAGATGGAATGTTGACTTCAATTTTCAATTTTTTACTTCCACAACAAATCTCTTGATTGTGACCAAGGGATGATCTTCTTGAAAGACAAAACTCCCTTAAACCACGACTGTATTTTGTACCATCCATTAAGACTCTAGTAAAGTATGCCATCTACATACTTGTTGTCCTTTAGATTCCTTCATTTCAGTCCAGTGATTGAGTTCATCTTCTCCTGAGCTGTTGAGACCTAAGGAAATCCACCCTATCATCTCTTTTCGTTTCATGCTGCGTTTATTATATACAGACAATATGAGTGTCACATCTGACAGCTGAAACAATGCCACTTGAAAAATGAAGGTTTCTTTGTATACTGGATTTGGTTGCCCTCGGCGGATTGAAGTTTTGCATTTGGACATCTCTTGCCCCATGGAGTTCAGCAGTGTTAATTTAACATATGTATCTACAAAATAAATCACATTTTGGAATGTCAGATATCTTAGATCAAAAGCTTTGGGTAATGAGATGTATACAACATATTTTATAAGGATATGGTGTATACCATGTTGACTGAACATAGCTTAATTTAGACACATGAAAAAGATGACAAAAGCAAAATATTACAAGCACAGTAATGACTTAACTAGCTTCAGTACTAGGTAAGTGGGCTAAAGGTATACCCCACAATCCTTCTTCCCATCAACCCCCCTTACTTGTTCTAAGCAAACTTAAATTGCATTAACACTTAGCAAGCTCCAACTAGCCACAACACTGTAAAGCATACCACTGAATTGTCACAGAATAAGAATAAACAAAGTGGAACGAACACAACTAATCAAAAGAAAAAAAAAAGTAATGCTGATATGTAGTGATAATATCAACGCAGCCGGAATGGAATGCTTAAAAATAATCTCTGCATGGATGTGGTTTCTCACTTTGGGTTTTTCGATTTTGTTCATCTTTGAAGAGCAAAATGTAGCCAAGTGCATCTAAAGGTGGAGGTTTACACAATGTAACAAATCTCTTAATTCCTAAATTCTTGAAGGATTACATTTAATATGCCTTTAAAGAGAAATAAATTTTGGCATAATTTAATATGGTTGTTTAAAACATTGCTTGAGTAGTCCTCTTTGGAAGCGCGCTTAAGAAGTTCACGTAAGTAAATGTGGTTAGCACACTCCGAATTTTAGTATTTGGGTATAAACCCTTATTTTTAAAGCTGTATTTTCATTTGACTAGAAGCACCAAGACACGCTACTGCAGAAGGATGTGCATTCCACAAAGGTGTATCTGATTTTATGAAATATATAAGTGTATAAAACATTTTTTAAATTTTTTTATTCCCGTCACGTTAATGAATAATGTTATTAAAAGACTGGAGTCTCTCTGCGTATTTTCACTGTGCAGGTACACTGAAATCCCATCATCCATAATCAGAGATAAATGCAGCTTCTTCATTAAAGAGTGCCACAGATAATAAACATGTGCTTTTGTAAACCAATATGGTAGGCAGCTGTGGATAGCTTTACTGCTGGTAAGTTTTCTTTTGCATGAAAAAGACAACATCCAATTAGTTTCTACAGGAACTCACCTCGGATTATATAAACCTGTCCACCTATCAAGTGTTTTAGACAACAGAACAGTCCGTCTGACAACAGGGGGTGGAAAGCAGTAAAAGAAATAATGACCAGATGTCAATAGTTGGGTGAGAGAGGATCAAAGGTTAAAGTTTAAGAGGAAACACTATTCACTGGAGTGGAAGAACACAAAACCTTAGCAGTATAGATCTGAAAAAAGGATTGAACAAAAGGATTCTTGGGTAAAATTTAATGAAATGAAAATTTGTGCAGTTTTTGTGTAATCTTTAACAAAAAATTACACTGCTTACATAGTGGGTATCTTAGCACTAATAGCTACTGGGTTTTAAAGCACACTGAACATAGAAAGAATCATGCAGATGATTAGGTTATAAAAGACCGGGTAAAAATCACTGTATCCATTTTATCAAACCTCATACTTTTTCATGCAAACTCCAGCATATTAAGAAAAACTGCACACAGTAGTTATACTTCATATACTAAAAGCAACAAAATGAAAAATCACTGAATTGAAAACTAATCCTATAAATACATAATAGTTTCGGCCTTAGCTTTTATCATCACTCTATATGACTGTAATGCCTTGCTTTTTGAATAGTGATGGACTTGTCATGAGACTAAATCTGATCTAAAGTCTACAAAAAGTTGAGAGATGCTTACATCTGAAATTCAGCTATGGATCTTTCTATTTAAAATGTAAAGAGCTCACTATTTAAAATCCATACGTTCATGGACTTCGTGTGGTGTGCGCACATGCATGCACATGCATGCATTTAATGTGCAAAAGCTCATACGCCTTTTCAACAAAATTTTAAATGATACTTAGGAGCATTCTTCTCTTCTCAGACATATAGTGACTGTCACACAGAGGAACCAAGACACATTCTAACATCAGCTTTGACTGCTTGCAGAAGTTGGCCAATTTGCTTGCATTCACTTCCTGGATTAGTTACTATGTACTGTATAAAATAAACAGCAGAGTATACGCTATCAAGAAGTAGAAAGCTAGGACTTGATCCATATTTGCTTCAAAAACATTTCACAATAATTGCATAGGTTCACAACCCCTAGGATACAGAAAAGACCATTTGTGGGAAAAAAAATATCACTTCCCTTTCCATTGTAGTTTCTCAAGAGCAAAATGAAAATTGACCTGTGCCCGTGCTTTGCAGCACTTCTCAGGGTTCTAGATCGCTAATGGTCCAAACTACAGAGCATTTCATCATCAACCTTATATGCCTGAGTTTCCTTTCTGTGGAAATGACGGCAGAAAGAGAAGCTGGTATATGCCCACAATGCACTCTCAGCTCTGCAGCCCCTTCTCTCCAGATCTTCTTTTCCTTTCATTCCTTCCCCACATCCTGCTGTCCTTGAGTCTTCTTAGCTTCCTCCATCTCTTTTCAAGCTTTGTCTTCAAACAGGTGACTCTGGGGCAGCTACGTAACTACAGGGAAGTACCTCCTATTCTTTTATTCTTCTTTGGCCTTCCTTCTCTAGCCACGTTAACAAAGTTTGGCTCCGTCAATGTGAAAAGGATACAGAAAGCAAAATAGAGTAAGGCTCAGCCAAATATGGTTAATGCATGGAACAAAACGTGGGTCAAGAAAGAAAAAGGAGCCATCTAATACTGTTGGGCTCACTGCTAAATTCTGAAGACAAGGTGAGATGCACAAACCTCTTTTACAATGTTGGCAGCCTGCAGGATAACCTAGTGATGCCACAGAAACCTGGGGATTAAAAAACAGGAAGAAGGGCCAAAACCTGAGCCTCCAGAGAGAACCAAAAGGAATAGGTCTGGCTACAATTTATGTAAGTTTGACTGATGCTCTTAAAAAACACCCACTTCCTGCTTTCCTTCACTACTGGACTTTCTCAAGCTATAACAACGAATTAGAGACAGAGTAAAAATATTCTGTGCATGTGACATATTCCATCTGGCTTAAATTTAAAAGCACACAAAGTTCAGAGATATTTTAGACAAATGTATTTTTGAATGAATGTTTGAACACTCAGTTGGAGTCCTTTCTGACGATGAACTTTCCTTCTGTACAGTATGCATGCCAAAAGTCACAATTTGGTTCTATGTTGTCTTCCCTGACATTCCTAAATTACATACATTACCTTCACATATGCATAGGCACATATGCAATTAAAGACTGCAGTATCAACTCCCCTAGGAAGCAATAACTGTTCACCATGTTTATATTAATATTAGCTGGCATATACTTTCTCTTTAAACACTACAACTTCTTATTCTTGGCCTGTGATGTGAGGCATTAGTAATTTAGCAATTAATCATTATGATAAAGGTAATTTATTACTCAGTCATCATGAAAAATTAAAACAGTCTTGTCAACTTACAATTAATATTTTGAATTTTAGATTTTTGCTATTTCCCAACTGACTAGAAATGTAAAACATGAAACAGATTAGTTGATGATTGCTCTACTTCATTTTGATTGGGTAAGACTAAATGATAGGATTGAAGTCCTTGCTATCGAGAGTCCCACCAGTTCAGAAGCATTAGGATAAAAAAAGATTTTCACTCACTGGGTGGTCTGTTTGCTGCCAAGTTTTTGAAGTGGCTGCCTTTTATCACTTCTGCTGATAATCTTCCAGTTGTAGCATTATAAAGGAGGCCAATGAGGATTTCTGGAGCTGAGCCATGTACCAGAGACTGACAAGAGGAGGTACTTTCACTGCAGGACACTTCTGACATGCTCATTTGGGAGTCGCAACCCTATAAACAGAGAAAAAGTTCTGTGTGTTTTATAGAGCAAAATTAATGGGAAGTCAATTTTTAATATAACACACAGGAAATCAGAAAGTAACTTACTGACAATAACAGAAGTTCCATTCAATGACCCAATACGAAATGTACTTCCTTAGTATATACTCAGACCACATATATTAGAGGTAACAAAGACTAATGCAGTCTGGAATTAAAATAATTTTTAATTCTGTGTTTCCATTGCATCATTATTCAGGATAATAGGAGGACATGAAAAGCAGCCATTATGACCCCTATTTGTTTCAGCTGGGAAGATAAGACCTGTAACATAATCTGTAAGCCTCCCAGAGAACATTAAACTTTGGATCATTTACTTTTCAAAAACGGAAAACACTACTGGAACTCTGAGGATAATAATATGCAGGAAATTCTTATTCATCCTCAGCAAAGGTTATTCTCTAGACTTAGAACTTATGAGCAACAAAATGATAGAACATATGCAAATAGAAATAAATGCACTCTGTCTAGAATAAATTAGCTTACAAGGAATTTAATTGGTCCAGGGATACAGAATTGTAATAGACCTTGGGCAGGAGAGGAAGAATGTTATACCCTAGTAGTGAGCAAATGAGACTTTAATTTCCACCACACAAGCTTCCAGAAAATGCAGAGAGCCCATGAGTTCTCACTATATCACGTCTTTGATTGGAGCTTCTAATACCCCTTTTTAGCATTTTAATCCTCTCATTCCTAGCCCTGAAAAAAAGAAAATTTACAGTTTCTTTACACTGCTGTGCTAATCAAAGCACAGGTACTCCTACTTTGATTTCCTGCTTTCACGCACTGGCGCAGAGAGTTACGGCACTGAAAACAACAGACTGGATGGAACCTTGCCTGCGGCATGGCGATATCCTTGGAAGCTGAGGAGACAATTTGGAATTATGAATACAACCCCGTACAATATTATCTCAAAAAAATATAAATTGTGTCCACAGTTTTATCAACTGTGGGTTGACTCATTTGGGAATCTGGCAGCATTCCTTCAAGGAGTGAGGATTGTGTCAAGCTGATTCCTCCAGATTCCAAATGTCTCTCTACCGTTTCTAGCAGCAGCAGATATGGGAGTGAGATCACTTCTAAAACTTAAATAAAAGCAAATAACTTAATATAAAGCTCAACTGCATTACAGAATCTCAAATTATAGAAGAAATGATAGAATAATCTACAATAATATCCTTCAAATTGAAGTTTTAACTAGTTCTTCTCAATAGAACAACACTTCCAAAAAGTTTGAAAGGGGCTTCATTACTTGTCAAAATATCTCTCTAGAATTTTACATGCTAATGTTATACCACTAACCTCTTATTGAACTTTTTGCACATTACTTCCTTCTGCTTCTACGTCAATACAACTGAGACATTAGGGAAGCAAATTTGAATCCTAAGAGGTGAAAGAGGGAATTGAATCCAGGTCTCCAACATTTTAGACAAAAGTACTCCTCTCTTCATCACCAACCCGGTGCTGAACGCTGAAGCTGCTGCAGGCGATGAGAGCACCCCCAGCACAGCAGAGGCTCTAGGCTGGCTGTCAGGCGAGATCCAGGGAGGAGAGGAGGGACTGAACCTAGACGGTTCACATGCTTTGTCTGAGAAAGTATTTTAAACCCTTCCTGAGAAAGAGAATTTAAAGCACCCGAAGAACTTAGCGCTGAAAACGAAGGTAGGTAAAATAATTAGGAATGTCGAAGAATGGAGTTTTATAATTTTGAATTCTCGCATCTAGATCCCACTCATATACTATACCGGGTGCTTTGATATTTTTGTGACCATGTGTTTTTGCCTCAGTTATTACATGTGTGATAGTGATTCTTTTTCCTCCACCTACTGTGAGGATCAATCTACTTAAAAATAAGTAGTCTTCAAACATACGATAGTCATATAATAAAACAATCCCCTAAATTAAACAACAGGTACCCTTTCTATATATGAACACTTGCAGAAAATATCACGTAGTTGTTTTTAAAGGCAGAGCTCTGCACAATATGCCTGCAATTCTAGTAAGAATATGGATATCAAAAACAATTACTGTGCGTCTACCAACATCAAAACCTACACTCCTGGAAGTGTACGTCTTCATATCCTTCAGGAGAACAATTTAGGTTTGAAGAAAGCAACTTGCAGGGTACATGATAACTTAAGGAAGACAATACATCTTAATTAATGAATATTAGTTACATAGGGATAGCTCTCAAAAAACAAAATTCAGCTATGGTATATATGGCACTGATTTCTACTTAGCTGCAACAGCATTAGCATCTCTTTCTGCTTAAGTGGAAATATATTTAGCAGAAAAAAACTGTTACATGATGCTTGTTACAATGTTAAAAATGTTTGAGATAATAAGATTCACTAGTTTAGTAAAGATGTGGCTAAACAGCAATTAAATGAAGAAATAAACATGAAACAAGGGTAATTTTTAAAAGGTTTCCTTCTGTACTATATTTCATTACCGTTTTGAAGTTTTTATGATTTTTAAAAATAACTAATTGTAATCAGTTGTCAATCTGGATGTTCTTGTAAAAAGTTTTTTTTTTTTTTTTTTAAAGAAAGTCAGTACTTCTGGAACTGTGCAAAGCTATCTCCACAACAGAACAGGAAGGAAATTCCAATCCTTTTGCAGATGATATTCCTGTACAGTAAAATTAAGAGAACGTATAGTATCAGCATATTACTTTAAGCTAATAAGCTAAACTTGCAAACATTAACATGTATAGAATTTTAGGCACCTCAAAGATTCAAGCTCAGGAAAGCATCTTTTTTTAAGAGAGGTGATTATATGTGACAGTTTCTTTGATGCAGGTCCCAATTAAGTATTATACTGTGCATTTTTACTCATATACTTACACATTACAGTATTAATACTTAAGTCAACTTAAATCACAATCACGAAACTAAACATTCTAATAACATTCCCATTATGTAACTTCCGTTTACAAAACAAAACATACTTAGCTTGTGTAAAATGCCATGCTTTAAAAGTTGCTATAATTTCGTATTCAGAAATTCCAAATTAAAAGACTTTTGAAATTAAATACATTCAACATCATGGTATTATTCATATCAAGTATGGAATTGTTTTGTTTATTAAACTATTATTAATGTAGCTTAAAATCAGATTATCTCAACAACAGTTAAAATTACCATTTCTCATCAAAAGTTTCTGCTCTGCCTTGTTTTTCACTCTCAAGAGAAAAAGCTTCTGGATGCAGTATTTTTTAGAAAAACAAGTTGTTTTGCTATAGGCAGAACACTAGAAAATGGAAATCAAATTAAAAATATTAGCCTTTCATTAACTACAGTCAAGGGACAAAAACCCTAAAAACCTCTATATACCAGCTTTAATTTACCACCGAAACTATAACGTTACAGAGCTATAAAACTTCCTTAGATCCATGACAATATTACATTAATTTCACCTGTGTATACTTTCTAATAATGAAACATACAGTATTACTCAAAATCAAGATTTGCTTTCAAACTTTAGGATACTTTGAATAATTTAGTCATAAAATGAAATGACATAATAAAATTTATATATGCAAAGCAGCATTCCATCTTCTGGAAAGACTTTGAGCAAGTTCACAATGAGATTTCTGTGCTGCTTTTCATATTTTATGAGATTGTGCTATTAATACTTTGTGTATAAAAGTTTTTACAAGTCTCTTAAAAAGAGCTTCAATATTCAATGCTGTAGAACAAAACATTAATGATCTGCAGAAAAGGAACTATTTAAAGTTTTCTATAACTTTTATTTGTCTGTATTTAAATTATACCTTTGGCTTCCTTGCCATATAATAAAAGAGCACCTACTTGCTCCACAGACTTAATGGCCCTGAAATTTGCACGGCAAACCTGAGAAGCTGGGGAAGGAACTGGAAATATAGTATGTACAATGGAATTTACAGCATTTACAATGCCTGTTTCCAAAGTGTTCTGTTTTCAAAATTGCAAAAGTCTACCAGATTCTTACATAGTGAGGGGGGATGGGGTAGGGGGAGGAAAAGATGCAAGAGGCCTTTTCTTATTGAATTCTGTTTGCTAAGATAAGACACACAACATAAAGAAATATTAAAGCACTAAAAGCTGTTAGACATTTGTGCTAGCAATCTAGTTAAGAACATCTGACACAAAATAAATACAGACATTTTACTTGCAGTCCTGATGAAGCTACATGAACAACTTCTACCCATGCTCACACATACATGTCTCTCTACTCCTTTTCAAAAGTATATGATCATGGAGGAGGTGTTATAGCTTCCAAGCTCCTAGATGGCAATGCTTCTAAATAGCAGTGCTCTTTCAGGACGTTGCTACTTTTACAGTTCCTATGCCAGTTTCAGAGCACCCATCCTCTTTACCCAGCTCTCAGATCTGCACCTTACGGCCTGTTATTCAGAAAGAAATGTACAGTACAAAATGTCCTCCAACTACCCTAATCTTGTAAGATATTCCATAGACGGTCTCTGCACTCATCTGGGAGATCAAAATAGCCAACAATTTGTTTTTTCCCTTTTCTCCTTGCAACAATTACACTTACTCAAATGGGGAGCAGAAAAATGATTCACTGATCAAATAGTAAGACTAATTTATAAGTAGTCAACCTACGGACTGGTTTGTCATTGCATAAACATTTAATGAATCTTTTTTCACAATTAACAAATCTGTAACATTAAACATAGGTTCATAATGAAGTTGCTAATTAAACTGTTTGCTATTAACAGTTCACCCAGCTCTAATTAAGTCCACTAGCGGTGCCCTTTCTGATTTGTTCAGGTCATGTTAAGTCTCATGATCAGAGCCTCACCAGATGTTTGCAGGCTGGAAGTGATCTCTTTCAGTTCTCAGAGCTATCATATAAACTACAAAGAACGGCAAGAAGGAGAGATAAGCTGGATTCTCCTGGACCCAGCTGGCAGCTGATTAAGAGAAAGGCAGCAACTGTAAAGTGAA